TATATTTATTTTAAATTATAAAAATTGTTTTTAGATACTATTGACGAGGGTCTCACAGGTAAAGGTATAGGTAAATTGGTTCAGCGGTTATTGGATTCCTCATACAAACTTCCACCCCTTAATGGATGATTTCTGGGATAAAAACTGTTGTGTATCAAAAACTTATGTTTTTGAAGTTGGTTAAAAAGACTCTTGGATGGAAAATAACTCGTTATTAATAAATTCGATTATTCGTACACAAGTGAACTTGAAGACTCGCAATACCACGGTAAAGGACCTAACTACGTGACTTTGAAAAAAAGCTAAAAAAAACCATCTACTGTATATAAGTTATTTTGCTTTATTTAAATTATGCGGATACGCATTGGTTTTCGTACACATCAGAATATCAGCATATTCCTCTTGCGTATAGGTCGTCGTCTTCAACATTATCCGAAGCATAAATCAAACTCCAGTTCGCAATAGTTAGTAACGAATAGAAAAGGAAACAGTCCAAAAATACAAGCAACGTTTTTTACTAGGTATTATCGGCTTATACGATAATTCTTAGAACTCCCGGTCTTTCACCTAACTTTTTTTCTATGAATTATAATACTATCTTATACTATTATGCCTCGTTAGATAGCTGATAATACGTACATATTTTTAACACATCTGCAACTTAACTGTCATAGTTTTTGTTTAAAGAAAAAATCTTTTTTACACATTTATTTTATTTTGCTATTATCAACCATCTACTTCGGTCCAGTTTATTAAATACATTACAATTTTGGTAATGGAAATAATAAAATAAATGTGTGAACAAAACAAAATCAGTAAATAATAAAGAAAAAAAAAGAGGATAAAAGTTACAAAAAAAAAGTGGTATGCAAAATTTCGGTAATTTTTGATAAAAAAATCCTAAAAGTCCAGTATCTTTAAAATGGTTACGTTTGGGATATTTTATTTCATAGTAAAATCTATTAGTTATAATAGCTACTAAAACACCCTAAAGTATCTAGGTCCACTTAACCAAGTCCACCTATTATACCACAGGAAAATTCGTCCATATTTACATTAAACTACCGAACATACACTAAAAAAAATAGAAACATCCGTATTGAAATCTTCCTCTTTTTTAAGTCTGTTAAAAATAATAGAGGCACATTTGATTAGAAATGATTATTTTATTAATATTTTATCATTGATAGAACAATTGCTGCCAACAGGCGTAAAATAGTTATGAGAAACCATTTAGAGCGCTACGCAATGATTGTCAATAGTAATCGACGACCCTCATTACGAGATAAAATGAAAGTTAAGAAAAAATCAAATAATTGGATTAGTCTCACAAGATTATCGATATATCGATTGTGGATTCGGTGATTATTGTTTTAATAGTTTTATTTCCAGGTTACAAACAAGGGACCATACAGCTAAGACGTTTCTGTCTATGGATCCTTGGCCAATGGTTTACTGGTGGTGACTTGATCCGTGTACCAGATGCTGCTAGTATACGACATATTTTAGTTTAAAGTAATTTTCTTTTTTTTATGTTAGAGGGGGCAGTCGAGCAGACGTGTCACCTGATGGAAAGTGACCATCGCAGCGACCATTTACGTCTGCAACTCATGAGTCACAAAACTAGTTGCGGCCCTTTAGGAAGAAGTACGCTCTTTTCTTGACGGTTTGAAGGTCGTATCGGTCGTGAAATACCGGAGACGATAACCCGTTCCACAGATTGGTTGTGCGGGGCAAAAAGTGTCTCGAAAAGCGCACAGTCGTGGAGCGCCAACTATTCAGGTAATGAGGATGAAAATTTTGCCGTGTGGAACGATGGCGAAATTGAGATGTTAATGTATTTAAAAATACTAAGTTTGTCCATGGCTTCGCTCGCGAATGTCGCATGTATAAAACAACCGGGAAAATTATTTGCCTAGATAAAAGGTGCTTTATGTCTATTGCTGTATGCACATTATACAATAATGTAAATGCAAAATACAATGATGATTGGATAAAAGTGACAACCGCATTGATACACAGTTTAATAAAACACATAACACAGCTACAGTTGAATAAAAATAATAATAAGAATATTAATTGGAAGATTGGAAGATTGGATGAGAATATTAAAATAATTTCAATGATGATAACATAAGTAAGGAAATTATCACAGAGTGTTTGTTGAGCAACAAAAAAAAAGACGAAGTAAAAGAAGAAAATACTGTGGTCTAACTAAATATGTAAATATTATATAATGAAAAGACTCTTGTAAAAGACTTCATTGAGTATAGCTGTTGGTTTAAATACATATACGAGTATGGATGAGGTAATTTCTCACCTTCTCTACCTATATAAAAAAAAAAATGAAATTATAAACAATGGGAAACGACATGTAGTATATGTAGGTACCTGTTCTTCTTATACACCAAAACTGTGAACAACTAACTAACACGTTAAAAAGAGAATTAACAAGCAATTCAGTGAAATCTGATAAATTTGCTATTTTCAACAGATTTTTTATTCGATTGGTTATCTATTGTAAAAAAATAGAGTTTAGTAAAATTAATAATAAAGAATTCTCTTATTCACTTACTGGCTCTATCATCAGATCAACTCCAAGATATAAAATTATAATTTTTTAATTGCCATCGGACTTACTATGTTAGTAAATACTCTTCCCTAGATATTGTTGTTATGTACATTTCGTTGTTACACCTTATATTCATATTGTCATATAATTCTCCTTACACAATAAGATAGCCTAGGTACATAACCAAGGGAGCAATAACAAATAGAAAGCATCTAGCAAATCTTGATTAATGCTGCACATCATGCGCAAAAATGGTCGGATATGAAGCGCATCGCAGGCGTGCCCACTTCCACGCAGTTACACACTCCCTCTTGAGCCTATTGCGCAATTTGCCTTGATAACTGATAGTAACTTGTTGCTACACTGACAAGCGAAAACAACGCCTACAATTTATATAACACCAACATAAGCGACGCTACTTACACCATGTGTTTAAAGATAATGTTGCGGAGATGAAAGAACACGAAATTCCTTAAAAAAATCCATTGTTCGATCACAAAACAGCCAGTGTTTAACGAATTTGAAAGATATTTTACAATCAAACATTCATATTACACTCAGAAATTGTGCTAGCTGATTTATATAAAAAATGGATATATATCACACAACATTTTAATGATGTACTGTGATACATAAAATTGAATTTTACTCCGAATTGCGTATGAATATAATAATAAAGTCGTTAATAAAAGATGTTAAAAATTCTTGCAATCAATAATGTTGTACATATTGGCACATCTTTTACTAAATCGTTATCTAGAACCCTCCAAGGACACTCAAGAGAAGACAGTATTGTGTAACAATACTAGTCGCGTAACTTATGAATACATAGGCTCTGTGTCATATCCTGTATGGTAATGCAGATAGTAATACATTTTCGGAAAACTGTTGTCATTAAAATCTACATCTGAAAGCATCATATTTCCTATTAATATATATATTCTTAATGTAAATGCTGATTTAGATAGAATTAAAATCAAGAAATAAAATAATTAAAATTATCCTATGTCTAAGAGAGATTCGCAAGCAAAAATACTTCAATAGCACAAAATTTATCTACAATGACTTACAAAATGCTTTTTTTATACATATTACATAAAAGACAACTCCCGCACTAGGAATATATTTTGTGTCGCGGGGGACTTTACATACATACATGAAACGGACACAAAGAACACCCAGACTTAGAACAATAATTTGTGGATCATATAAAGTGTTGTCCTATGTAGGAATCGAACCCATAACACTCAGAGCAGTAAGAAACGGCGAGGTAACCGTTTATACCACTACGCCATCCGTGTTACGTGTACGCCTTTTAATGTTTGATCAATCAACGTAATAACGCGTCGTACAATCCATTGTATCCATGACTGGATCCATCCATCTATGATTCCAATCATTGTTAGTATTTACAAATGGATTGTGAATATTATTTTCGAAATCAAATTACACGATTGATTAAAAAGTTCAATATAATATTAGTATTTAGTGTTCTCAAATTACATAAGTAGAGAAGTATCCTTTTAGGCCGTAATTAGGGATTGTCTTCTTTCTTTTATATGACTCACCAAAATGTTATCAAAAGTATTTATTAAGAAGATATAGCTATATATAATAAGGACATTATATAGTACCTAACTATTAAAAGTAGTTCAAAAGTACTAGAATTTCTATAATTGGGCGCTTTTTTGTAGTAATAATTCCTTGAATTTCTTTAGAAATATTCATTTATCTGCAGAATATCCGAAAGTATACTATAGTAATAATATATCTTAATATATTTTCAGATATACGCTAAATATGTAATCATACTTATCAACTAATATTCCGTGAGTTGGTATTCCACTTTGAGATTATGATAAAGTTATTAGAATTAATGTGCATATGCAATTCTGCAAACTGTGTCTCATCTAAAAACACAACTAAGATTTAATTTAAATTGTAGTCTTTTCTTTTTACAAATACTTTTTGGAACTCAATACAGTATTATGCAACTATTTGTAAAAAATATTTATAGTTTTTGTCGTGAAGAACTAAATACTAAAATTTATTAAAATAGATGTGCCTCAAAGAGTCAATCAAATATCAATTTTAATCGTTTGCGATTGTCACTTTATTTTATAGTACATAATTATTGATACAATAATGTAGATCATACGAAATCTATTCGACGATAAACATCTAGCAAGGATCATTGGTACTAGGCGAAAAATGTCATGGTTTTTGATACAGAAAAAAATTGCTATGTCGATCGTGGCTGCATCGTATTGCAGCGACAACTCGGCTATGAAAGTGAGATGGCTTCGAACAGCTCGCATAAGTGGCAGGGGTGCAGTATAAAAGCGAGCGCACTACTACCACTCTGACATAGTTCACGACACGCCACCTGCCACTTCGCTGCACCACGTCACCCCAGACATAAACAACAATGAAACTGCTGGTGAGTGTACATTAATTCCCTAATTTCTACTTTCTTCAGCCCTATATTTATTTATTTTCTATTTTTTTTTCAAATAGAAGAAGTCTAGGACTGGTAACAGAAGATTATCATTGTGATGATTGGAATACATCATTATCGCAACTATTCCCATGGTTAAGGATTTCCCCGCAATCGAGTGTTGTGAGAGGCAGTACTAAATAGGGTCGGCAGATACGTCGACGACTGAACTTTGACATTTAAATGTCTGCGTCTTCAAATTCCTACATTTCATTACATCATTTATCGGTTATCGTTCGTATCGATGCTACTTATTTTTTTTTAATATTTTGCTCTTTTAGTTAATAGTTTTAGTTTCTTGTACTCTTATATCTTCGGTAATTACAACTATAGTCAATATATATATATTTTTTGCAACTAATGCCTATTACAAATAACACCTAACATGAGTTTTTCTCTCTGTTGCATCTGTTATCTAGTATTCATATATTTGAATATGTATATATCTGATTCACTTATTTAAATATATATGAGAACCATCGGTTGTTATGATGTAGTATCTTTTCAAAATTAAATTTAAACCGGTTTTAACATTTTTATTTCTTCTGAGGCATAATTTAATTTTTTATGTATTTCTCTTTATTGTAAAATATAACGATATTGAATAGAATGTAAATTGATTTACTTAACATGTATAAATAAATTAAAGCAAAAATTTGTTTCAATTAATCTATCATCATTAATAACTTTTCAACAAAATGTATTTTGCGTTTCATTTTTTGATTGGACGTGTCTCATTAAAACAGGTTAATCCGTCCAAAGATTAATTCATTTTTAATTCAATTGAAGAACTTTCCAAACATTAAAAATTACCTGTGGTGACAAAGAAATTAATATCCCTAATTTTGGAAAAGATTTTTGTTTTTTTTTTGTAGCAAACCAAAAAGTTACGTAGAGTAGAGTTTAATGACACTAACTTCAAAATAAAGTTATTATCGATTTCCAAATATTCTTTACTTTTTCTGTGACATGACACTAAATAAAAAAATCAGAAATAAAAAGTACTGTTATTGTATTTTTTTTTCGTGTAAAATAAGTGAGAAATCTTGTATATTGATGGTTTTTTAAATCAACATATCAAAATCAAACATGTAAAAGTGATAGTTTTTCTATCCGCTTTGCAATCGGAAAAGCAGAGTTTCATAAAAATGTAACGGGTTTCAGAGAAATGTAAATTGATTACATTCGAAGCTGTAAAAGACATGTAATAATGTAACATCACACAATCGATATAACATTAGATTCATACGCACACGAAAAAAAAATCTTTAGCATACAGAATGGGCGAGAATGGCTTTCAATTTATATGTAGTTGCAACCTCGTTTTAATGAACTTTCTGTTACATTACACAAAAATGATCTTGTTCTTGATATTTATTATACAACCCAATTTTAAGTCATACCTTTAGGTAATGAAAAAGAGTCAAATGAGAAACTGTGTTGCGATCAATATTCAACTTGTGTAATTATTCATTAATATCGGTAATAGTTTCGTAGTTGTAATAAAAACTTATCTCAAAACTGTAAATTACATTAGAATGATTATCATATCAACAGGGTATTCAATACTAACGTAACTGTCGTCATAATAAAAACTTTTTCCAACGTATTATAAATAAATCAATATACAACAATGTGTAACTAGCAATTTAAAGCCATTACTTTCATTTCAATGCTTTCGCAACTTTTGTATAGATCGACTTGATATAACTCAGTATATATTCTAATCAGTTATATTAATACAAGTTAAGTAACCCTTAAACACACTAAAATACATCTGTCTTGACTTACCCAACTGTATTAAGTTCAGTAATGTATTGACCGAGACATTTAACTCGGCTAAACTCTATTTACCAACTTTTTGTAATCATATATGCATTACATAATTTGAGACAAAAGGTTTTGCTTGTTAACGTAGCACAACTAAAAGACGTTTGATCTCAATAAAACAATGCCATCTTCGCGGACATGTAAGTGTCAATACATACTCGTATTATGTTGGGACCCACTTTCGCCCAACCTGCGTGTCGAATGAGCCGGTTTCACAAGATGCTGCCTATTGTATCCGTTCCATCTTATATTACAACATTACGAATATGATTAAGCTCTTCTGTGTGACATCACCTCTGTACTTAACTTGAACCCTGGAAAACCCGGTTAAGAAGTATTATATCTGTTATTGACAAGTGAATATAATATTATTACAGATCGCAATTTGTGCATTGCTGTCCCTTGCGGTGGCTCTGCCTCAGAGAAAAATATCTCTTAAAACTGAGCCAGAGGCTGATGACCAGATACCTGCAGAGCAGAATTACAATAACTACCAACAAGCTGACTACAGACAACAGCCTCAGCAGCAAGAGTACAGACAAAAAAATCAAATTGATGATTTCAGGCCCAAGGTTCAATTGGAAACTACAACATATATCCCTATTATTCGTTTTGATAAAGAGCAAGCCAATGATGGAAGCTACAAAACTTCGTAAGTAAATTCTAAAGATATCTGTGTTAAAAAAATAATGTGATTATGCAGCTTATAATAATACAATAGCTCATACAAGTATATGAACAATTTGACAAAACACAGATTGATTCATAAAGAAATTGATAGATTGAAATAATAATTTTTACACTCCTTTTATTTAATAAATTTAACTAAATTGGCATACAAGTAAACAAATACCCTATAATGATTTTCATTTCATAATAAACGTGTTCGTAATCATTCGGATCGTCTCAATAACGACAGGTATCTTAAATGACCGTGGAAACATGTAGATGGGTACGAGATTCCATAAAATTGTAAAATACGACCTTGACCACATACTTTTACTACGAGATTACGTACTTTTGGTCAACGTAAATAAATTAGTTTCTTAAACATGCTTTATATGTTCTTTAGTTATTTTATTCACACTTCCTGATTAAGACAAGTCTTTAATGACTTTCAGGTATGAAACTGGCAACAACATCCAAGCTTCTGAAGAAGGTTACCTGAAGCATCTTGGCGACGACCTGAACGCCCTTGTGCAAACCGGTTCCTACAGCTACACTGCGCCTGATGGTCAAATCATTAATGTGGAATACACTGCTGACGAATTCGGATTCAGAGTCAAGGGCGATCACATTCCTACTCCTCCTCCCGTCTCTCCTGAAATCCAGAAAGGTCTCGATTTAATCTACGCAGGAATCAAAGCTAATGAGGTAAAAATATTCTTTCGCAAGGAGTGAGATCATCTTATGAATTTCGTTCTTGTGTAATAGAAATTTCATTTCTTGAACCGGCCCGAAGTAGTGTTAGAAATGCAGACAAATTTAATTGCTCACTCTATTCAGACATTCCAGCATAGTCCATCTCCATATTGATATTAAAGTATTATTGTATTCTCCATTTATATATATAACCAAATAATTTGCTACTACTACTAAACTTTGTAACCTGAGTCCTTCAAATTCAAATGTAATGTATCTTGGTTTTAATCGTGTAATTTGTTTTGATGCTAAAATAACCTTACTTGTTTAAAGAATAGTAAACGTCACGGATACATTTTAAGTGTCCGACGCTACTAATAACTTAATACACTGCACGTTCGTGTGGTGACGGTGACCCCAATTCATCCCGTGGGTGTCGTAAGAGCCGACTAAGGGAGCAAATTAAACAGGACAACAGCACTGCAAAGAGAAGGAAATCTTGAAACAAACCCTATACCAACCCGTCTGGCCAGCGTGGTATAGTAGGCCAAAACCTCCTTTCTAAGGAGAGGCCTATGTCCAGCAGTGGACTAGTATAGGCTGTTGATGTGAAGTTTAATAGGTACTGAATACGAATCAAGGCGTATTTTAAAATGTATGTACATGCTTGTTCCTTATATCCATATTTATATGAAAAATATGAAAGTGACTTTGTTTGTGTGTTTGTTACGCTTTCAAGCTTATACCACTATAGCAATAAAAAAAAAACAATGGAAAGCTATATTATCAGCGAGTAACATAGGCTACTTTTTACCGCGTAAACCGACATATACGCGGGTAGAGCCGCGGGCAGAAGCTAATATTTAATATGTGTTTGTTGTGAAAATTTATTTTTCAAGATTTTTTTAATGAACTCTAAATTTAGGTATATTTCAAAAAATATATGTAAAAATTTGTTCTGGGAAATGGTTAAACTTAAGATATAAGAAACAATTTAAGATAATTCTTTTTATTTTTGCTGGTTACCGCTACTTGTTAATTTTGATTTCTTAATTAAAACGGACACATTTTTTGTATTCGCAGGAGCGTGCTGCCTTAGAAGCTAAGAACAACCCCCAGGCTGCCAGAGAACAAGAGGATAGGGCAGCTCTTGACTACAAAGGTACTTACTATCAACAGTAAATAATAAGTGGTTTCTCATAGACTGTTAGTACCGTGAATGTTCTGATGGCAGAACCCAAATGCCATTTATTTTAAGATTAGATTTTCTTGTTATTAACTTCAAAAATGTCTGAGATTTCGAATAGTCATCCATAAAACGTTACCAGACTTTTCAAGAAAACGTCTACGATTGAAAATAAAAATGAATGTGTGTTAGTGTAGTTAAGGAATTTTAATACTCAAACTGTTATGTAAGATATAAGATTTCTTATGCCTAAGAAAATATTCTCAATATGTCCTTTTGTCAAAACTCTTCTGTCAAGACTCTTTGAATCAAATAAGTATATACATGAGCGTATTGGTTTCAACATGTTCTTTGATAGCAAGTTTCTTGTAAAGATGAACTGTTATCTCTCATATGCTTGAATACTGTGGTTTTCTTCAACCAAAAGGCTGAGGAGCTGAAGACAGCTAATAAATACTTATTTTGGTATATTATACAAATGTACAAACAAGTTAGAATTATTTTAATAACTATTCAAAGGTAAAGAAAATGTTCTACAAATTGTAAAATATGCTAAAAGATGCTAGATGTTTCAATGTGATACGACACCAATATCTCAAGTGTTCAATTTTTATTTTTAAACTTTTGTAAATATCTTACAATTATGATTAAGTTATCTTTGTATTTTCGATTTTTGAATAAAAATGTTGTACAATGGATTGCAATATTTTATTTCTGTATATACATTGAAGAAATAGAAGAATAAATGTACAGTTCTTATATCATTATTTTCTCAACAACAACGTTTAGTAAATCAAAACTAAAATATGACTGATAGAGAATTTTCTTCTATATGTTACGGACTATAAGTAAGTAATTGATGTTAATTTCACTTCATTTGACATTTAGTTATAGCATCATTGAGGCAGTTAAAACATTAAAAAGATTCCAAGTGATAACGAATAACATGAATATTAATTTATATTTGATGTACATACTATAACAACTTTAAAACACACAAAAATCAATCATTACCCAACTAGTACTATTTTACAAGTATATTTACTATTTTAATACAACACAACAGACATAGAAAGTAAAGTAAAAATATATTATACAAGCACAGGATATACAGTATACTAGACTGTGACGTAATAAACGTGTGACTCGGCTTTCGGCTAATGCTGGCTATTAACCTGTCACTCTCGTCGACTTCTACAATTGAACCAGTTTTTAACATGTAATGATACTTTCATTGCAAATGAAACCACGACTTATTTACCCATAGTTAAATCTGTATATATAATATGGCTTTTGCTCCTTGTTAGCTTTATTGAGATAACTATATTTATTAAAGATAGGAAAACAAGATTTATTTGCACCTTATAAAGTCAGGGTCATAAAGTTATGAAAGGTTGGGCTACAAGCTTAAAGCTAAATAGTCCTATTCTTTTGAATACAATTTCTATTGAAGTAAAGACTAAATCTCGTTACGTTATTTTACTTCAGTTAACACTAAACTGGAGGAAGTAGTTACTGATAAAATAAAAGCAAGTTTGGATTTTGCTTTGAACCAGTTGTTCTATACACGATAAGAAGATTAAGGAGGATAAGGTGCAAAAACTAAGATTGTTCAAATTCATGACTCAATTTTCAAAATTATATTGACACATCTTGAGAAAGTCATACAATAGCAGTACAACTTATATAATTTTCTTCTTACCCTTTCTACTAATTTATTTGACGTCAGCGTCGGTGCAATGAGTTTTCTTCTTTCATTCTTCTCTATCAATCGACATCCTTCACTCCACAGTCCTTCATTTCATTGCAAAATGGTTTCGGCTTTTCTCTTTGATGACCGACCGTCTGCCTGACGCCAACGTTTCGTGGGGATATAATCGTTTTCCGTAAATATTATGAACCAAAATGTTCATTACATGCTAAGGTTAAATTTGTAAAATTTGCATCAAGAGAATTCCAACGCAGTACTCATTGCTAATGACAACTTATATTGAACAAAATAAAAATTTATGGTCGAATTTCGCCCATCAAGGGATGCTTAGTTTTTATAATTATTCAATAGTGCGTCAATATTCACTACTTTGAAATATATTCACCTTCAAACTGAGAAGGAGATCCTCCAAGGTATTACCATGACCATAAAATATCAGAACAAGCACATGTATTTTATTTACCTGTTTAATCCTACGATATTTATGCAGCAATTCGTGACATTTGAATCGTAAAATTTAAGTGAATACAATATAACTTTGAAGTTACATAAATTGAGTACATTCTCTATTCACTAGTGTTAGGTTTAGTGATTTGTTGGCGTAATATCGTTGGCGTAAGGACTTCATGACATAGCTTCATTATTGAAGATGCCACTACGTCTATCGTAAGCTTGGCTTAAATTTTTTTCATCATGTCACTTATCGAGTTTTCAAAGTAATAAACCATAAGTTTTGTAGTATTTATCTAAAGTCACTACAAGAACTGGCTAACCTGGGGTCAATAATATATAATATACATGTGCTAGTCCGTGTTTTAAGAAATATTTGATGCAATTTGAATCAATGTAACCGTTGGGTTTTATTTTTGCCAATTTAATTAAACATTTAATATGATAGCTGAGAAAATTTTGTACATCGTTTCAATTTGAAAAAATAAAATATAGTAAATTGACTTATTTGTTTTAAACCGATAACCGTAGGATTTATTTAGAAAAGTTATTAAAAGTAATGAATCTTTATTAACAATCTTAGGTACAATAGTGTTTTCTTATTTTCGCTCTTTACAGATGTTGTGCCTTAAATTCAGTAAAAACAATTGAGTTCTTTATTGTATTCATTATGATTAGGTAATTTTAAAAATTAAATTACAACCTAGTCTTTAATACAAAGTGCCTTGTACCTTACTTTGGCGAAGTAATAAATTTTTAAACTAAGCAAAAAGTCTATAAACAATCATTGAAGTGATGCTATAAAATATTTTATCAATTAATAAGTAGAGTAACTATAAGCTTTATAAAAAATGAAGGAAATCATTAACTTTAAGAAACGACTAAATAACATTACAAATATTAGAATACAACAAATTCATTAAAATAATATTTAAAATGGTGTACAACATTTCGTAATTATCGTCGTATGTCATATCGTTCCCCAAATTTTTAATTTTTTTTTAACCGATAGCTGTCAAACATAAATAAATATTGTTCTCTAAAAATTACTGTTTCAATTGTTATTGGTTTATCAAATATAAAAATAAATAAAATAGAAATAAATTTTACAATGTAAAAAAATCGATATGAATATTCGCTAAGTTTAGCAATATTATACAATTACTCTAGATGTAACCTTTTCTCTCAAAAGTAAATATGGCATGAGTCAATGAAATAATAGACTTGGTTGTACACACTTTTTACATGATTCTCTTTGCTTGGCTGATTCTTAATAGACCTTATATCATCATGTACGTGGGTTATGAATGTTTATGATTAAACGTGTAATCGCCATAATATTTACACAAAAAACTTGTATCGACGTGTGCGGCATGGCAGTAGAAAATTGAACTGCAATAGTCTGTTGGAAAATCATCAATATATTGGACGTGAAATGCAACAGTAGTATGAAATAATACGCATTAGGAGAAGTCATGTGCAGCAATGGATTGCAATGGGCCGATTGATATTAATTGTTTTTACTGTGTTTTAGTTTACAGAATGTCTTCGTAGTCTTTTTTCACCCTGCTCCTTTAACGCTTTATTATTTGGTTATCTTCTATCAATTTAAGGATTTTTTTCTGAGTTTTCTGTTTTTTTTTTGTCACTTTACTTCACTTTTCATAATTTTGTTGTTTTTCTTCTTTTGTTTGGTGTCGATGAAGTTTCCAAAGTCAATTTAATCATTCAATGGTATAGAATACGAAATCCAGATTATATTCGGAGTGCTAGTATATAAAATAATTCATTACTAAGGAACACATTAGCCTTGTTGTTCGTATCATACGCTTCAAAACCACGGTACTTATTGAGTTCGACTTAAGACTAAGAAACATAAGATTTTTTTTATTATAAAAATATTATAAACAGTATAATCTGGGGCTACTGTTTGTTTAGATTTTTTATAAAAAGCATATCTATGTATTTGATCGAAGCCCAAAAGGATGAACTAAGTCTTCTTAGCACGCGTTGAAATTGTAAAAATTAATAGCAAGAACATAGAAGTATTATGATATTTTCGCATTACATTAATAATAATTCATAAATGTGTTTAATATATAAATAAAAATATCTATTCATTACTTATTATTATAAAATCATAATTATGTAGTGTTGGATCTATTAATTATAAATTAATAACTCATGAATTCATCTCATGAAACTGACAGCACCAGGTAATATTTCCTAACCCAGTTTTTGAGGAGTGACTGAGAGTAGTTATAAAACCTTGTTTTAAGATTGTTTCTTGTTTGTTTGTTTAAACATTGATTTCGGATACTTCCCATGGATCATTTATTTGTTAATGTAATATGCTGTATTATTATTCATTGACAAACGGTCGCCAGTTGGAAGTAAGACCAGTTGGAAGTGATGAATGTAGGTAGCTATTATAACAATATTTAACTTATAACTTATCTTAAGCTAAACATAAGGGTAAGTATAATTCTTAAAACCAGAATAACAAATATATTGATAATTAATTTTGTTCCATAAGCAACATAGACCTAATGAGATAGAATAACACAATCTAACAAGTGGTAGCAGCTAGTATTGACAGCTACCCTCCGCACTAGTAAAACTGTGTTGCGGCAGTGTAGTTATCATCGAACTAAGTGACCATTTTTAAAAGTTACGTGTTGCATGAGCGAGTGCTTGACTGTATGGCTCATTGTTTATTGGATGCGTAATACGGTAAGTATAGTATATGGAAGATTAATACATAAAATTAATTTAGTGAAAATCGAAATACAGACAAAGTGTAATGTTTTTAAATGAGAAACTAAGATACTGCGT